TATTTTAAATGGTAGTATTTAATCTTTGATTATTAAGTTAATCACCTGATAACAGAAGCCTGCTGGGTTTATATTATTTATTATTTCTCAGACGTTATTAGCCAGTAGGAATAAAATGGTTATAAAGACAATTTAGAAGCCTTTGAAGATAAACTTCAGTGTAATATATATTAATTTACTGGTGGAGAGAGGCAAGTACTATTTTATTTCATTGAATTTGAAAACTGCAGTTCCTTATATCATTTCAGATATTTTCTAGAGTGATTTAAAATGTTGCATACAAGTAGGAAAGTATCTAGATCTCTCACAATGATGAGTGCTCTAAGTCTTTAGAAATCTGAAGTATATGCTACCTCATTGGCTGTTTTAAAGGAGTTGTTTTGTTTGTTTGTTTCCACTTCTGCTACTTGATCATAAACTCCTTTTACTCTTTTGCTGTCCTGTCAAACTTACTCAGGACCATTCTCTGCTCAATTCTCGCACTTCCTGTGTTTCTTCCTTTCTGCCAAGTGTAGACTGGCAGTTGCCATACTATCAGCTCCAATTGATTGGAGACCTTATGGACAACAATAAAACACTGCCTAATCCTGCGTTATCCTCATGGTCACTGACATAGTCCAGTTCACCAGTGCAGAGATTTTGTCCATCTATCTCTCCAGGAGTCTGCTTTGTCTACCCTGGCTTCCCCAAACATGGTACCTCCTCTAGCAATTGATCCTTCCTGTGAAAAGTCCAAAGCAAGTGAGTCACACAGTGTGTTGTTGTGACCCCTAGAGTTTCCATTGACTAATTTCTGGAAGTAGATCTCTCTGCCTTCTTCCTAGACTGTCTCAGTTTGTAACCTTTCCATCATGGGTGACTGTTCATGTTTGAAATATCAGTGTTGTACCAAATGGCTTCAGAAAGTTCTTGGAAAAATGGAAGTGAAAGATAATGGAATTTTTCCATGAACTTTTTGAAGTCCCTCGTACCTGCCAGCATCATATCAACACTCAAGCTCCCACGGTGTGACAGATGGACAGACAGGATGTGGATTCACAGCACAGAAGTCCGCTTATGGAGCTGCTGGCTTGCATGTTGAGATGATGCTGAACCAGTTGTAACAGAGCTTCCAGACTAAGACAGACAAGGAACAAAGGCCTAGTTGTCTATGTCTGAAAACCAACCATTGAAAACTGTGGATCACAACAGCCCAGTTTACAGCAGACTGTGAGGATGACACAGGACCCAGCAGTGTGGGTCCATGATGCAGTGGTCACCGTGAGTCAGGGGCCAATTGGATGGCAGCTGAGAGCAAAAAGAGCATTGTCTGACATACTGACCATTCATCAATATACACGAAACTCAAGTTTCCATCTAGTTGTTTTCTGAGTAGACTCTTCCTTAGGTTTCCCAGGAGTAGTTTTTCTTCTTTGATAGTGAGGAAGTAAATTTTATACTTTTGAAAGTTTAGGTTTTTTTTGTACTAAGAAGAAATTAAAAGTTTTTTCCCCTGTACTTTCTGTGTTTTGTTAAACTAGTATTGTGTTCACAATTCTTATTAATGACCATGATGTTATTGTATCTTTTTTTAAAAAAAGTAAAAAGATTAGGTTTATTGAAGTGTAATGCATGTAAGAACTCCTCATGGTGCTATACAATAAGCACTGAACTGGTAATCTCAAAGTCAGCAGTTCAAACCCACCAACCACTCCATGGGAGAAAGATAAGGCTCTCCACTCCTGTAAAGACTTCCAGCCTCAGAAACTCTATATAGGATCTCTATGAGTCAGAACTGACTCAATGGCATCTTAACAACAACCGTAATTTTGTTACATACTACGATGACTGTTCTTGTTACTGTTGTATGTCACTGTTGTTGTTGTGTGCCCTCAAGTCATTTGCGACTCACAGCTACCCCATGTGTAACAGAAGAGAGCTGCCACATCAGGTTTCCTTGGTTGGAGTTTTCACAGCAGCAGATCACCAGGGCTTTCTCCCACAGAGCTAATGCATGGGTGCAAACCCCTGGCTTCCTGTTTGTTTCAGCTACCTCTTCTTTAACTTTTAACAATGAAACTTGTGCTTCCTGTTTGTGTGAGGAGCTGAGTGCTAAGAGTTGATACAACTTAAACTTGTGTTTAATTGTATTTTCCCTGTTTCTCTGATTATTGTCCGTGTTATCCAGTGTCAAGGAAAAAACAATATTGGGAGAGTTCAAGAATTTATATTTCAATTCAGTAGTATGAAATATTTACTTTTGAGCGTATATTTAAGCAGTGGCTCTCTATTTAAGAATGGTATGCTTGCCTTCTGTTTTGTGATTATTTTACTCCGTTAACTGAGTAATTAACTGATTGCTACTTTTGTAGTAAGTGCTCTCCTTTAAAGTTGTATTTGGAAGGCCCTATAAGTCCTGGTGTGGCGCTGTGGGTGAATGCGCCAGACTGCAAAACCGTTTGAACTGCAAGGTCGGCAGTTCTAGCTCACTCAGGAACCCTGAGTGAGGGTCGCTGTGGGTCGGAACCGACTCGACGGCACTTCACAACAACAACAACATAAATAAATAAAAACAGTTCTGTAGAGGGATGACTTTGTTATTTTACCTCCGTTCTGGTGTGGCACTGTGGGTTAATGTGCTGGACTGCAAGGTAGGGAGTTCAGTCTCGCCTGCTGCTCCTTGGAAACCATCTACAGGGTCGCTGTGGATCACAACTGACTCACTGCCACAGAATAAGAATACCATGGATCATAGAGCAACTGCAAACAGGTGCTGTGGTAATAAGTTGGTTCATTTCCTCTCCAAATTTAAAGCATCGGCACCAGGAACTGCCTATTCATCCATCTAATTCTCGTGGTTAATTCATTTTTGGTGGTTAATTCTTCTTGTTGTGTTGGTAAACCTGAGGCAGCAAGGTTGAATTTGACAAAGATAATCCATCTTGGAAGAAAATAAGTCCTTGAATATTTGTAATTTTGGGTTTTACAAAAATTCTAATGGACCCTTTGCATGAAGTTTTTGAAGGTCCATATAAGAAGATTTGATGGGAAGGTTTGGCTCCTGCAGTAACTTCTAGTAGTGAGGTTTATATACAGCTGACTTAACAATACCTGTTGGTAAGTCACGTGAAAAATACTGAGATAGCCTACTTATCCATTGCCAAATTGGAAATAATGTGGTAAATACAAATAATTATTGTTAGTTGCTGAGCCAGTTTTGACTTCTGGATTTGCAAGGCTATGACCTTTCAGAAACGGACAGCTAGGCTTCTCTTCCGGGCCACCTCGTGGCCAGCTTGCGTCACCAATCTTTGCTAGTAGTGAGCACACACACACCCTTTGCACCACCCTGGGACAGCAAAAGTCAGTTTTTCCTTGTAGTCATGGGAGATTGGCTCCAGGAGCCCCATGGGCCACAAAATTTGGGGAGGCCAAAGTCTCTTGTATAAAATGGGGACGTATCTGCCTAGAACCTGTGTGCGCCCTCCTTTGTACTTGAATTCATCTCTAGAGTGCTCATCGTGCCTAATACAGTGCAAATGCTATGTCAGTAGCACTTGATGCTCCAGCTTACCCTTTGATGGATTGCTTTAACCACTTAATTGCTTCCTCCCCTCCCCCTGAATATTTTTGATCTGTCGTTGACTCCTCCGGTGTATACAGTTAGACAGGTATGTTAGGAAAGGTATTCTATCAGCAAATTCTCAGGTGACTTACAGAGTGAAGCCACCTCACCCCGGATCTAGTCCACTTACTTGTTTTCAGGGAGGTTCTTTCATTGTGATAATCATCTGACTCCATATCTAATTCTCTCTGAGAGGGACTTGTTATAATCTTTTGGGGCAATGCATTTCAGATCTCTTTCTTAGACTGAGGGTGTAAATCCCTCTTTTGTTCTTATCCCTTCCTCCCAATTTCCAAATTATAAACAAACGGACAATAAACGAAAGTGAAAATTTAAAGCAGTGATTCACTTACTGCCTCCCCTGCTCCCTAGCCAAGGCATGCTGTTGTTGTTGTTGTTAAGTGTGTGTAGTCGATTCCAACTCACGCTGACCCTGTTGTATAGGGTTTCCAAGGAACGACTGGTGAATTTGAACTGCCAATCTTGTGGTTCAAACTCGTCTTGCAATCGAGTGCGATTCCTCCATCGCTATACCAGGACTGCAGCCGTGGCATGATTCTATCTAAATCAGCCAAAGTAACTGTAGCAAAAACATGGACAGCAATCAAGTCACAATGCAGCTTATTTCTGCATCCTCCATTTGTTTTTTCCAGACTGTGTTTGAAAGCCAATAGAGTCTGTAGCCATGTAAATATATAACTATAAAAAAGCACATGTGAATACTTTGCTCATTTGTTTGGGAATTTTCATTATACAGATTGTTGTTAAGGGCGGTTGCGTCAGTTCCAGCTCAGTTACCCCGTGTAGTGTTCCCGAGGCTTTAAATCTTCACAGGAGCAGAAAGCCTCATCTTTCTCCCTTGAAGCAGCTGGCAGGCTCTAACTATGGACCTTGTAATTCGTAATCCAGTGCTTATCACATGGAGCCACATTGCTCTAATGTATATATGTGTGTTTGTGTGTATGTGTATGTGCGTGTGTATAAGAAGCTCTCTTGGTGCTGTAGGATAAAGCCCTGGACTGGCAACCGCAGGTCAGCAGTTCAAACCCAGCAACTATTCCTGGGAGAAAGTAAATCTAAAGATTTCCAGCCTCAGAAACCCTACACAGGGTCTCTATGAATTGGAACCGACTCAATGGCGTTGTATACATGTTGTTGTTGTAAACAGCCGTCGAGTTGGCTCTGACTTACAGACATCCTATGTAGGGTTTGTGAGGAGCGGCTGGTGAGTTTGAACCACTGACCTTGTGGTTCAAATCGACTTTGAGGTCCAGTGTCACTATTTGTTGTAACGATTTGCATGCAGTAAGAACATTCTAACTGTAAAGATCAAAGGTTTGGGGCTCCCTCTCCTTTAACTCTGGACAATAAAACCTGTGCTTCCTGTTTGTTTTAGCTGGAGTCACAGCAGAAGCCGTTCCGAATGTCACTCCTGCTCCCGACGTGTCAGGGACAGAAACCAAAGTCCAGGAGGAAGAGCATGACCTTGTTGATGATGATATCACGACTGGTAAGCATGAGCATCTTTACCAGACTTTTGATGGCACTCTGCTCAATACTGTAGAGAGTGTTGTAAGTCAGCTATACTGGGGGTGCATATGTTGATGGGAAGGATCGAAACTTGTATTGACGGTATGTGGAGTTGCACGAGAGTTTTCCGTGTCCTTTTTGATCTTCATGTGGAACAAAGTGGAAATGTCTGTTTGGTCCGGGCGTGCTCAGTGTCACTGTAGTAATCAAGCTGCTGTTACGTTTGATTTTTGGCAGACCTTCTAATTCAGAAGCTAGTCATGACTAAAACCCTGGAACGTGTAAGGAAATAGACGCGTTATATTAGGAAAGATTTTCTGATTATAGAACAAATTGAAGAATACTGAAGTTGCAATAGCAGTATATGTAATAGAGACTGTCTGAAGGACACGGTGCCCTTTATGCTCTTATTGTAGAAATGAATACTACCTTTCAAAATTATTTCAGTTGTTGGTATATTGAATATTTTAATCTGTATTATCAAGCATGTAAACAAGCGTAAAGTCAACTGTACAAATACAAAGTATACATATGTATATATGTAGTAGAAGGAGCTCTGGTAGTGTAGTGATTATAAATCGGGATGCTAACCTCTGGGTCAGCAGTTCAAAACTACCAGCTGTTCCACGGGAGAACGATGAGACTTTCTGCTCCCGTAAAGATTTACAGCCTCGGAAACCCTGTCTGTACAGGGTCGCTATGAGTCGGAACCGACTCCACGGCATAATAACAACAACAGCAACAATAACATATGTATTAGAGTGAAAGTACATTATATGCATATATGTATATATATATATGCACATATATTAATTTGAGCAAGAGAGTGTGTGTTCTACAGCATGTAGTGGGTATGTATTGAGCTGTGATCTTCAAGGTTCACAGTTGGAATACACCAGCTGCTCCAAGGGAGAACTAATGAGATTTTCTGCTCCCTTAAAGACTTACAGCCGCGAGTCTGTTCTGACTCACAATGACCCTCTAGAGGGTTTCCAAGAGCTGCTGGTGGCTTTGAACTGCCCACCTTACAGTTTGTAGTCCAATGTTTACCCTATAGCATATAGGATATATATAAGCACCATACCTAGGGCTCATATATATTTTAGCCCATCTTTTTACAGATTTAAAAACTTTGCAGGGCAATTCATTTTTAAATTTGTCTAATAAAGTTAAAATTTATTTTAAATACTAGCTATTCAAATGTATTCAGCTGTAAATTTTTTGAATGCATAAAGGATAAAAGTTGCCTAATATAATTGTTTTTCTTGCTATGAGTCAGAACCGACTTGACAAAAATAACAACAAAGATTGATAAATTTGTTTTTGGTATAGATGGTTAAAATGTAAAAACTGACCATGTATATTATCATGAAGTAACAAATATTAGCATTCGTTGTTATTGTTGTTGTTAAGCACTATCGAGTTGGTTTTGACTCATAGCAACCCTAAATAGGGTTTCCCAGGAGCAGCTGGTGAGTTTGAACCACCAACCTTGTGAGTCAGACCAACCTTGAGGATAAGTGCTTATCCTAGGATGCCACACCAGGACTCCAAGTATTATCATAAAGGTGATATTTTCAGAAGAAGCTTGCTAATTAAGAAAGTGATAAAAATTCCAAGGATGAAAAAGACAAAAGAGAAATCCAAGGGCGGGTTTCCTTTTCTTTCATAGGTCTGCATGGTGGATTTTAAAAGGTCTACATAAGTGTTTTATATCCTCTGCATCTAGGTGTAATCATTTAAAACTTAAAGAAAGCCCAACTTTACATAGGTTCTTGTTAGATGACCTTTACCTATGGTGACCCCCATCCCATCCACAATTCATAAGACTGGATTTCAGAACTAAAAGAATGGAAACGGCATTTGCCTATAAATGTAAAGAGAGGGCAGTCTCTGAATTCAATATGGAGCAGTTGAGCATCACCTGCTATTGGCAAATTATAATCTGAGATTATTAGCACCATTCAGCTAAGCATTACCTGACAGCTTTTGTCACCTAAATGCCTGTAACTTTTTCAAACACTGGGAAAAAGCTGTTGGAGCCAACTCTCTCTCTTGAACTTTTGCAAAGCTTATATTAAAAACCTAGTTCAAACTCTTTGCAAAAGGGAAAAGTATGGAGACAGTAAAAATAATCAGTTACCCCTGATTATTCAAGGGGGCGGGGAAGAAGAAGGATAAACAAAAATGGAGCATGGGACTTTTAGGGCAGTGACACAAGTCTGTATAAATTTATAATGATGAACACATGACATTACGCTTTTATCCAAATTGATAGAACACTTACAAGACAAAGAGTGAACTGTAGTTGGTAATAATGTGCCAATACTGCTTTATCATGGAGTCTTGGTGTGGCACTGGACGTGGTGTGGCTCTGGACCACAAGGTAGGTTTGAACGGAAAGGTCAGTCATTACCAGACGCTCCTGGAAAACCTTATACAGGGTCATTATGAGTCAGAACCAACTCAGTGACATTTAACAATAATAACTGGTCCATCACTTGTAACAAGGGTACCTTATTAATGCAAGAGTTGATAATATGGGAAAGTTATATGTATGTAGGGAACAAAAGGGGACTAGAGAATTCTCAGCACTTTGTGCTCAAATTTTCTGTAATCTTCATAAGTGCTCCCCAAATTGGAATCTGTTAAATAAGACCTCATCATCACCACCAACAAAATTGTAGTTTTGTGTTACTGCAGAAAATCAGTAGTTATCTAACTCTGGGAGCATTTGGTTTTCAGGAAAATTTAGGTAATGCTACTAATTGTTACTTTGTAATTAAAAATATATATATATTTCAGTTCATAAATGAGAAAGCAGTCATCCAATTGAAATATAAATATAATTGATTCCAGAAACTCCCAGCCCTTCAGAAAGTCATTTATTGTTGTGAGGTGCCATCAGGTCAGTTTGGACTCGCAGTGACCCTGTGTCCAGCACAATGGAACCCTGTCTGGTCCTGCGCCATCCTCACAATTGTTATGTTTAGCCCATTGTTGTTGCCATCTCATTGAGGGTCTTCCTCTTTTTTGCTGACCCTCCACTTTGCCAAGCATGATGTCCTTCTCCAGGGACTGACCCTTTCTAACAGCATAGCCAAATAATGTGAGATGATGTCTTGTCATTGTTGCTTTCAAGGAACAATCCAGCCAGACTTTCCAAAACAGGTTTGTTTGTTTTTCTTAAATCTCATGGTATACTCAATACTCTTCACTAACATCATAATTCAGATTAATTGATCCTTCTGTGGTCTTCTTTATTCATAGTCCAGCATTTGCATACATATGGGATAATTGAGATAACATGGTTTTTTTCAGGTGCAACTTAGTTCTCAAAGTGACACCTTTGCCCAACACTTTTAAGAAGTCTTTTGCAGCATATTTGCATAATGTCATTTGATTTCTTATCTTGACTGCTGCTTACTAGAGTGTTGATTATGGATCCAAGTAAAATGAAATATTTGACAATTTTAATCTTTTCTCTAAGGAGCTCTGGTAGCGTAGTGGTTACAAATTGAGCTGTGAACCTCATGGTCAGCAGTTCGAAACTACCAGCTGTTTCGCGGGAGAAAGATGAAGCTTTCTGCTCCCATAAAGACTTACAGCCTCGGAAACCCTGTACAGGGTCACTATGAGTTGGAACCTACTCCATAGCACATAACAACAACAACAACAATCTTTTCTCTATCATGAACTTATCTACTGGTCTAGCTAAGAGGAATTTTGTCTTCTTTACATTGAGGTACAACCCATACTGAAGGCTGTGGTGTTTCATCTTCATCAGTAAATTCCAGTGCTTTTTTTCCCCACCTTGTGATATGCAAGGTTGTATCATCTACATATCACAGGTTATGATGAGCCTTCCTCCAATCCTGATGCCAGGTTCTTCTTCGTATAGTCTAGCTTCTCGGCTTATTTGCTCAATGTACAGATTGAATGGGTATGGAGAAAGACTACTTCGCTGATGCACACCTTTCCTGACTGTCCTCTTTTTCTGTATGTGGACTTCCTCTTGTCTGTATATTAGTTCCTCATGAGCACATTTAAGTGTTCTGGAATACCCATTCTTCACAATGTTATCTGTATTTGTTATACTTCACACAGTTGAGTGTCTTTGCATAGTCAGTAAACCTAAGTAAACATCTTTCTTGTATTCTCTGCTTTTAGCCAAGATCCATCTGACATCAGCAATGGTATCCCTCATTCCATGTCCTCTTATGAATCCAGCTTGAATTTCTGTCAGTTACCTGTCAATTTACTGCTACAACTGTGTTTGCAGTCTCTTCAGCACAATTGTACTTGCATATGTGGAACGAGCGATATCATTGCTTATGTCCGATGGATCTTGGCTGAAAGCAGAGAATATCAGAAAGATGTTTACCTGTGCTTTATTGACTACGCAAAGGCTTTTGATTGTGTGGATCATGACAAGCTATGGACAACATTGTGAAGTATGAGTATTCCGGAACACTTAATTGTGCTCATGAGGAATCTGTACATGGACCAAGAGACAGTTGTTTGAACAGAACATGGGAACACTGAACATTTTAAAATTAAGAAAGGTGAACAACAGCGTTGTATTCTTTCACCATACTTATTCAATCTGTATGCTGAGCAAATAATCCAAGAGGCTGGGTTCTATGGGGAAAAACGTGGCATCAACAACCTGTGATATGCAGATGATACAACCTTGCTTGCTGAAAGCAAAGAGGACTTAAAACACCAATGAAGATCAAAGAGCACAGCCTTTGGTATGGATTACATCTCAATGTCAAGAAAACAAAAATCCTCACCACTGGACCAATAAACAACATTCTTATCAATGGAGAAAAGATTGAAGTTGGCAAGGACTTCATTCTTCTTGAATCAACTATCAACACTCGTAAAAGCAGCAGTCAAGAAAGCAAGCGACGTATTGCATTAGGCAAATCTGCTGCACAAGACCTTTTTATTAAAGTGTTGAAGAGTAAAGATGTC